TTAATTATATAAATATAAAGAATAAGTCAATTAAATAAATTAATAAAATATTTTGAAAAATAATTTTAAATTTTTATATTTATTACTTAACTTAATATTTATAAATATATTATTTTTATATTCATTATTCACTTAATTTTTTTATAATTTAAATATAATATTTATTCTATTCCCAAATCTCTTTTCACCTTAATTAAAGTCTAAACTTAAAATTTTCAACTTAATACGTCAAATTCTTAATTATTGAATTAACCTATTGAAGTTGTAACATACTTATAATGAAGAATGTATCTATCTAATGCTCGCTCACCCTAGAATACATGACTCAGTGCTTAAAGACCATCTTGTGGCTGGCCCGGATAGTGGGATGGTGGGCTTGACATAGCCCAATAACTTTATAAGATGGGCTGAAGAGTGTGGACTTTGGAGCATGTCAATGAGAATTATATTGGTCTGGACCATTCACACCATTTGCATCGGCATCAACCTAGAGAGTAGACAGTCACGGAAAGTACTACGATTGCCCAAATCCTCAAAGTACGTGCGCTTCGTTTTTATCATGTATATATGTTAAAGAAGAAAAAAAATGTTAGCATGATTATCTACTAATAGGGTATGGTTATGGCAAGTAATAAAAATATTAAAAATATTAAAATTATTAAAATTATAAAATATTATTTTTAAAAATATTAATTTAATTTAATTTAATTTAATTAATAAAAATAGTTAATAATTGTAATTAATAATTAATAAAATAATTAAAATTTATTAATTTACAAATGAAAATCAGTTAATAAATTACTATTTTAAAAAACTATTTAAAAAAAATGAAATTTTAATGGTTTTCATATTTTTTTTATAGTAGCAATAATCATGCCCCTAGTAGTATTATATCATACTTCCCTCTTTTTTCCTTTAAAAAAAAAACATGTGTTTTTAAGTAATGTTATTGTATAGCATATTAATGGTAACTAAAAATAGTTTTGTATTAAATAAAATTTTTAAATAAAAATCACTGTACATATTATAAGGAGGAGTATATACTCCATCTGTTATAAAATAACAAATATTTTCATTTAAAATTTATCTTAAAATAATAATAATTTTTTTATAGTTTAAGAAAAAAAAATTTAATTTAATCTTATCATTTTTTTTTCTTAATTTTAATTATTCATCTTATAATGATTTAAGTCAAATTACTTTTTTTAAGGTAATATTAATATAAGTAAAACTATAAATTATTTCAAAATCTTAATTTAATAAAATAAAATTAAAAGTGTTTATTATTTTGGGAGAGAAGAAGTAGTATACATACATAAAGTATCATACATCGGTTATCCAAAAATATTATTGAAAGTTGAGTGTAGACAGCTAAAAACATGGAGGTGGTAAATGTTTGGATGTCTACCTTTAATCTTACAATTAAAAAGCTTTTTTAATTAATGAATATCAATTTAATTGAGATAATTTTGTTTAATGAGAATTCAATTAAGATCTTATTATACCATTTTCTCTATCCCAAAATAATTATTATTTTTTAAAAATTAAAAATTTAGAAATGGTTAATGTATTTAATTATCTATATTACTTTAGATAAAAACTAAGATAAAATCAAATTTTTTTGTAATAAAATAATTAATCAAAATAAATATATAATAATAGAGTTAAAGCATTAAAAAAATTTTATTTTCTTTAAAAAATGAAAAAATGACAATAGATTTTGAACAAACTCAACAACAAAAAATGATAGTTATTTGGTTATAAAGGGATTATACTCTTAGTTTAATTTTGTGTCAAAACATAGAAATTGATAATTGATCTAATTTAAAAACTAATTTTCAACATTAAAACAAAGAAGAAATAGTATCAATTATTTGTTAGTGTGAATGAAAGGAGGTCGATTTCCTTTAAGTAATATATCGAGTTCAAATCTTACGAATAGAAAAACAATTACTCGAAGAGCTTCTCCTTTACGAAATTCGACGCGACTTAATTTTGTATTAGTTAAGATTTAATGTAATTATTGAATACTAAGAGGTTAATATAAAAAATGAAGATGGAATAGTAACAGCATGAAGTTATTGATTTGCTTTATAACAACAAAAGAAATGTCTGCAAAATGCTTCAAATTCCACTAGCTGGATCGACTTCAATATTGATTTGCCAACGCGACGCTAGCTAGGCTTTCATATAATTAATTGAAAGTCTTATTCCAACCATCAAGTTGTTGAATGGAGATAACCTCATGAAAAATTCAACATACCATATATTAAACAAGTACATACTTCATAGAAAAGAAAAAAGAAAAAAACCTAACTTTATATACTATCTCTATTTAATTTTTGTAGATTTAATTTTTTATTTAATAAAATAAAAATATAATAAATTTATAATGTAATTTTATATTTATTTTTAATTAATCACCACCTAAATAAGGATTTTATTTGTCCAGCCTATAATAGTCTAGTGGCCATCCACTTGAATGCATGAGTTAAGACAACATGTCCTAAATTTTAAACCAGAACTTACTTCCCCTTCCCAATCCAATTACCCAATGTTCAAAAAAAGTAATAAGAATTTTATTTAGTATATATTGTAATTATCTCTTTAAAATAGAATTTCAAATGACACCTTATAAAACAAAAAAATAATTAATTAAATTTAAAT